AAATCATTTCTAGCTATTAGGATATCATCTACATATAATAAAAGTATTGTGAATTTACTTTCATTCTTCAAGACATACACACAATGATCCAATCTAGTTACTTCATATCTCATCTGTAGGATGACATCATGAAATATTAAGTACTATTGTCTTGAAGATTGTTTTAAACCATATAAAGAGTTATTTAATTTATATAGTTTATTTTCTTGACTTTTAATTATGAAGCCCTCAGGTTACTTCACGTAGATGGTTTCCTTTAATTCATCATTCAAGAATACAGTATTTACATCCATTTGGTAAAATTCTAAGTCATAGTATGCAACGATTGCCAAAAATATTTTAATGGATATAAACGTTGCAAGGGAATAAGTGTCGACGTAGTCAACTCCCTTTCTTTGGGTAAAACCCTTTGCTACTAATCTAGCTTTAAATTTATCAATTGATCCATCAGATTTTAACTTCCTTTTAAGTACCCATTTAGAACCTATAAGTTTTCTATCTGATGGTAAATCACATAGATCCCAAACTTTATTTTTCTCAATAGAATCTAATTCTTCTCTCATGACATTAAGCTAGTCTTGATATTCTTGTGATTTCATATCATCATTGAAGTCAAAAGGGTCATGGATTTCATCTAGGTCAATAAAGTTGTCTATCTCTTCATTCATATAAATATCGAAATCATCAAGGTATGATGGAGGAGCTCTAGACTTCTTTTGATCACTTAACATTAGGTGTGTGGGTACTTCAACATCATCATGTTGATAAGGACTATCCATATCTATTGTAAGTAGTGATTCTAAGTCATCTATGATATTAAGTGGATTATCATTATCCACTACATGTAGGTTTTCTTCAATAAAATCTTCTAGGAACTCAGCATCTCTGCTTTCAATGAGTCCCTTATCTTTATGATAAAATCGATATCCCTTTAATCCTTCCATGTACCCTATTAAATCACAAATTAGAGTTTTGTTTTCTAACTTATTTTTATGTTGACATAGAATTAAGATATAGGCAGTTCATCTCCACTTCTTTAAGTTGGCTAGATCAGGTTTTCTACCCATCCACAGTTCATAAAGGGTAGAATCTATTGCCTTAGTTGGAACCATATTAAGAATATACATGGATATGCTTATAGCTTCTCCCCAAAATGTTTTGGGCAGATTAGCATGAGTCATCATGGATCTAGTCTTTTTTAAGAGGATTATATTACTCCTTTCAACTATTCCATTTTGTTGTAGCGTATAAGGTATAGTGGTATATGATTTTAATACCATATTATTGGTAATAAGTATTGAAAGCTTCAGATGTATATTTACTTCTCCTAGCATTTATAAGAACTTTGATGTTCCTACTTAATTGGTTTTCTACTTCTTTTTTATATATTTTAAATTTTTCTGAAGCTTTTATTTATGGTGGATTAGATAAACATATCCAAATCTAGAAAAATCATCACTAAAAGTGATGAAGTATGACATCCCTATATGAGTTTTAACATTGAGGGGTCCACAAAAGTTTGAGTGGACCACATTCAATAACTCATGAGCTCTCTCCCTTTTATTGAATGATTTTCTAGCCATTTTTTTTGACAAGCAGTGTTGACAGGTTAAAAATTCGACATTATTTAGATTTGGAATAATACATTTATTTATTAATCTATTTATTTTGTCTTTTCCTATGTGGCCAAGCCTAATATGCCCATCAACAATCATAACATAATCAATATAACCATAATAAGTTGAAGTTTTATTATCATTTTTCTCATTTACATGAAGAATGAACAAGTTATGGTCATCAACCAAATATCCCCAAGCCTAAATTTGTTCATGCTTTCAGATTGATACTTTCAATGAATGGAAGCAGACTTCAAAACCCTTTCTAATGAGCAAGGGGACAGATATAATATTTTGTCTCATACAAGGGACAAAATATACATCAGTTAATACAAGGTCAATTGTCCCTACATACAACCTACAAGTTCCTACACCTAATTTATCAGAATAGGTATTGTTCCCTATGTAAATGTGTTTCTCCCTAGCTTTTATTTCTTTGAAGTCCTCGAAGAGACCTTTTGATATTGTGGTCTGCCATCAGGCACTCAAAAAACCACACAAACAACTTCATGCCTCTTACTTCCATTTCCGTTATTCTTTGGATTTTGTGAGTTTTATTCTGTGGGCAGCGCGGTTCTTGAAGTGACTTGGCTGACCACATAAAAAGCATTTTGGCAGTCCTAGTTTAGATTCTAGGTTAGAGGGCTTAGTTCTTTTGTTTTTGAACCTATTGTCCCTCTTATTAAACTTCCTTTAAAATTTAGGCTTGGGTTGGCTCGTTTTGAGAGGTCCTTGAGCAAGCATGAGCTCACTCCTTTTATTTTTGTTCATGTGTGCTTGTTCTAAGGCTAGCTGCCTGGATAGGTCCCCTAATATAAGAGATTTGACATTCAACCCAAGTGCAATTGTTAACATCCTCCATGAAGGTGGAAGGCTATTTAAGATTGTGAAAACTTGCATGCACTCGGATACTTCATTCCTAGCAATGGGTAAGTCCTTAGTCATAACAAGCATTTTGTTTATATGTTCCACTACATTATTTCCCTCATTCATTTTAAATGAGTTATATTGCTCTAATAGCAAGTGGAGGTATGTTTCAGAGGTTGAGCATATTTAGTTTTTATTCCCTTCAGCATTTTCTTAAATGTTTCATAATGTTCGAAAACCTTAATAAGGTCATCTTGCATAAGGTTACCATAGATGTTTTCGCTATGAGATCATCTTCTAAAAAATTTTCTAACTTTTCTCTTTCTTCTTCAGTTGGTTTATCACCAACTACTGGTAGATCTTCTCTTAGTACATATATTATTTTATCTTAGATGAAGAGGTATTCCATCTTTCTCTTCCACATGCTAAAATTGTTTCTATTCAAATTCTCAATTCTAGAAAGTTCATCCATTACAGTTCTACTAGCTATTTGCTAAGTTATGTGTGAGCAGCCTACTACTTTCTAAGTTCTAAAGAAGCTAAATAAGCTACTAAAATATTTGTTATGTGGTCAATGCATGTGCAGAGAGAGTTGGTCTTGCTCGTGATTGACCAACCGAAAAGAACACCACGAAGATGAAACTTGGTCTTGCTTGTGATCAAACAACAGAAAAGAACACCACGAAGATGAAACCTAGTCTTGCTTGTGATCAACCAAAAGAAAAGAACACCTTGTTTGCTCTGATACCAGTGTTTGTGAAAATTGATGGAGCGTGAATGCGAACAAATTCGATATCTTTTAGTGAAAATTGATGGAGCGCGAATGAGAACAAACCCGATATCGGAGAGGAATGCCGTAAGGCAGCTGGGATTTTAGATCCCTTCACTTTTAGAGAGAGAGAAGAACTGTACACCTTTTTCTTTCTGTGTCTTCCTCTCTCTTGCTTCCCATTTTTAAAGGGTGAAGAAGGGAAAACAGATATATTTCTCTAACGGGTTTCTGAGAAAAGGTCTTCCCTGATCTCAGGGATATTCATCCAACGTTCATATGAACGTTGGATATAATTATTATTATTATTTGGATAATTATATTGAACATTGGATTTCCACAATTGTAGGCTAAGACACGTAAGGCCTCATAGCCATACGTGTCAACAATGGTCAAGATGAATTTGTGACCACCTTGTACCAAAGATAAATGGTCTCATTGTATACTTTTTCAAATAGAAAATTTATGTTTAAAGTAAGATTAAACAAACACACCTAAATAAATTTAAAAAAGTAATAAAAATATTTTTTTTAAAATCAATTTGTGATTGGAAGTATTTATGAAATAATCTAAAAAAAAAAAAATTGTAAAAATAAGTATCATGGTCAAATTACGTTCTAATCTTTACCAAAATAATGGAACACAAAAAAAAAAAAAAAAAATGTTAATGATAAATTTTTTATTTTTTATATTTTTGTTAAGATCCCAGGACACCCAATTGAAAAATAAATTCGCCACGGTGACGACCCGGAGTAACCCAGTGAGATACGAACTAGCACGCATGGTCGATGCGTGATTTTAGAATGACGTACCCTCGTGCATGCCCTCGTTGATTTGGCCATTCAAAATGCCACAAATGTGACATGTAGACTTGAGTTGATGCACGCATGTGAACCATCATGGTTGATGCAAACGCATATACGGTGAATTGGTTGAGTCCAACTCGTTGTTTTTGGGCCCCACCCAGAAAATTGCGAAAGTCATCTATGTGGTAGTCTAGCTTCTATTGATGTGTGCATCTAATCTGGGATACAATCATTGAATAAGGGTGCGGTTTGTATATAACCGAGTTTCTAACCGATCAAAATAAAGCACGTTTTCAAATAGTATCGAGAAATATGGTTTCAATTATGGAAATCCTTTTGATAAGGTTAAAATATGTTTTCATATTCAATTATAAAATTTAAAGTTTCAAAAATAATGTAGATCAAGCAGATCTATGAAAACTTGAAAATCTTGAAAATTGATAGTCTAATAATGCATGACAAGATACATTATTTCCAAAACTTGAAATCCATTTTTTTCTCATGTCCATGCATCTTGATGTGGAGATGATCAATTTGAGGATATTTAGACATCAAAACAAGCTCTTATAGTGAAACTTTTGAGGTAGGCTCTAATTTGATTGTTTAGAGCCTCGGCTCTATATAAACTTTTTCTTTGGATGCATCTTAAATCACGGTATCTCCATCTCTACCTTAAACTCATGAATTTGAAGCTCAAAAAATAGTGCATATTTAATTACTATTGAAAACTTGAAGTGAGCAAGCTATGAAAAAGATTATTGTTAAGGTTCAATTTCTCTTTTGTTATGTTTTCCAAATTCCTGATAGTGGTGATTGAAATGATAGGCCTCCAAATATTTGGATCCAAATTTCATCTCCAAATTAGATTGTTTTAAGTGGACGTGTGTACAGAAACGTTAACATTCAATAAACAAGCTGAGGGCAAACTTAACAGGGTCTCACCATGCGAGCCAATGCTAAAGCCGGTAGATGAGAAGAACCACCTCTGCCTGTGGCATCCATCTCGTCTGTTAGTCGGACAACAAATTCTGCTCGAAGACTGGGTCCGAAAAAATTCTGTCTGACGACGGGGTCGCATATCGACAGTTGCTGCTTGCAGTTGAATTCCACAACCTGTCACAATTTGTTATCTCATCTCCTCTACCCTTGTTGAAGAGAAAGATGGCTTTGGCCTAAATTTATGTGGGGTTCGAGGGAAACAGATAACAATGGCATTTTCATGCACTTCTTGATTCCTGTGAAGACTCTCAACGAAAATTAGAAAGCGGTTTGGTTTAGCAGAAATTGTTGGTTCACACTATTGGTTTCCAATTAATTTATGGACTTGCATGCGTGCCTAACAGTCATGCTTTATGTGCCTAAGGCCTTGTACTGTGGCTTTCTTTGTGGCATAGGATGTTAGATTGGCTTGAGCTGACAAGAAGTGAACATTGAAGAATTAGGGAAAAGGAGAAAACTTGGGAAAATTGTGCTCAAAAGATGCATGATTGCATGGAGTGCATCTCATTAGCCAACCCATATGGTGCCAAAGTCAAAGTTCCACCATGACTAAGGCCAGGTCAGCCTTCCATGAGCCACCAAAAAGAATAACGAAGTAGAGCAAACACTGGTCACACAAATACAAGCAATAGACAAAGGGTACGGTTTGTATAGAGTCGACGCTTTAACCAATCAAAGTAAAATGTACCTTCAAATAGTATAGAGAAATGTGCTTTCAATACTAGAAATCTTTGTGATAGCCTTAAAATATGTTTTAATCTTTAATTATAAATTTAAAGTTTCAAAAATATTATAGATAGAGCTGATTTATGAATATTTAAAAATCTTGAAAATTGACAGTCCAAAAATGTGTTACAAGATGTACTATTTCCAAAACTTGAAATCTTTTTTTTTTTGTCACGTTCATGCAATTTGATGTTGAGATGATCAATTTGAGGATATTTAAGCATCAAAACAACTTCTTCTAGTGAATTTTTGAGGTTGGCTCTAGTCTGAATGTCTAGATTCTTGGCTCTATATAAACTTTTTCCATAGATAAAAGGCCACAACCAACCAGTTATTCGCTTTGTCCGAGTCCCCTAAGAGAAATATTTGATTATGTCAATTTTTTAAAAATCCACTCAAGACTTTTGAGTCCTTTGAGATTTGTTTACTTACTATGCAACCGGCTTCTCCCACACAGCTGATGCTAACAAAAAGGTCTAACAGAGTTCTTGACAACCATAAAAGCTTGTTTGTAGTATGTGGTTGCAGGAGCATGTTGTATATTCTGCTCCCTCGAGCAAAATACCCACTTCAAAGTATTTTGTCAATATGAATTTTGAAATCCAATTTAGAATCTTTAGATAAGTATTTAAGAATAAAATCATATTATATTTCCAGTTCCTAAGCATTTAAATTAGACCATTAAAAAAAATGGGTGCGGTTTGTATAGAGCCAAGCCTCTATACAATCAATGTAAAGCACACTTTCAAAAAGTGTTGAGAAATGTGATTTCAATACTAGAAATCTTTTAGCTAGCTTTAAAATATATTTTCATCTTTAATTATAAATTTTAAAGCTTAAATAGTGTAGATCGAGCAGATCTATGAAAACTTGAAAATCTTGAAAATTGACGGTCCAAAAATGTGTTACAAGATGGACTATTTCCCAATCTTGAAATCCAATTTTTTCTCATGTCCATGCATCATGATGTCGAGATGATCAATTTGAAGATATTTGGATATCAAAACAACCTCTTATAGTGAAATTTTTTTGGTGGGCTCTAATTTGATTGTTTAGAGCCTCGGCTCTATACAAAATTTTTCCTAAAAAAAATTGGATGACAAGAATTTTTCTTTTTCTCTTTTTTTTTCAGCTCTCATGTAGGGCATATGAGAATATTTCACCTTTATCTTTCTGCTAGTTCATATTCTTTTAAGGTTGGTTACTAAGTCGAGGAGTAATGCCGCCAAAATTTGTGTTCCAAAAAAGACTTTAGAATAGGGTTTTACTTGAGGGAATGAATCTAGGATATGCTCTATAGGTCCAAAAAGATGCGGGAAATATGTAAACCCCTCTCCCCTAACTTATGGTCCCATAAAACCCTTGTCTACGAGAAGCTCATAACACCCTCTAGTTCTAAGAAAGGGGACATTGATCCCCTTCCATACCTTTATCTCTGTTTTTCTCACTAATGAATATTGCCTTTTCCTTTCACATAATAACAAATTATTCCATGATTAAATTAAGCTCTCCCTATCACCTAGCCCTCTCCCTCACTTTCCATACAAAAGTTCCACTCTCTCTATCCCACTTCCTCCGCATCCTCGCCGACCAACGGACTGCTAGTCCCTCTTTAAACCACTGAGTCAGAAGGTTCATTCTCGCTCTAAAAGTCATTAGCTACCTTTGATAATCAAGAAAATGGGGGACAGTCCCTGACTTTCCCATGGACTTTTATGAGGAAAGCTGGGAAAGTTGGAATCTCACGTTTGCTCTTTCTACTCTTCCTTTTAAGAAAGTCACTGTTGGAGTTGGCCTCATAATAACGACATATTAGAGCTCTTGATCACGGAAAGAATGCACTAGAGCGATGTTACTCGAAGATTTTGCTGCACTGGGACCAAGGTTCACCTAAATCTGAGGGTCATGAGAACAATATATACATATATGAGAGATAACGAGAGGACTGAGAGTTACCTCTATTCAAGGTCAGTTATTGTTATTGGGCCTCATGACTGTATGATAGGGAAGGGCATTGTATATGTGATTGACTGATGATGACATGAACTCGATGATTATATATGTTTGAGGGAATGTTAAGGCAAATAGAGGACATTATACTAAGTCCCTGACTCATGGAACCTCTCATAGCATGTGCACAAATGGAAAGCCGCTCTTCTAAACGATCCACAATGAAGAGATATGTACATGTACCAAGAGAGGAACCCCCACACTTTGTTTGTGCATTTTTCCTATGTGGGTTGTGTGCAAAGTGAGTTTGCAAGAAAACCAGACGGACATTGGGGTGGCATGTACCCAATGAAGTTGCCAGTTGGTTGGCCTTAGTTTTTGGTACGAAGCAAAAACCCTTTCTTAAAACCGTGGTGCTTTTTGGAATAGAGAGAAGAAGAAAAAGTGTGTGTTGCACCTCCCTTTTAGGGTTCACGCACGTGTACACGTGAGGGTGACCCTAGTGCCCACAAAGTTAAGGATTGGGCAGTGCGGTATGTGCGGTTTGAACCAACAAAAGAAAAAAGTGTGAGGTAAGGCTTACTTCACATGGTGGGGTCAGAACACACTCAGGCGCTGAGCCCTCTTAGATCACTTCAAAAAGTCTCCCAGCCTTTCAGCTCGATTTGGTTCCTGCTCCCTTGTACTTGCACTTTGCCTTCACGCGCACACTTTTGAAGGGCCTAAAGTGACAACCCTCGGCTCCTCTAGATGAGAATTTGAGAGTTGGGTTTAAAGGGGTTTTAAGAGGGTTTGAGTCAAAAAAGAAGGAAAGGGGGGGGGGGGGGGGAAATATCACTCCTTAAAATTTTTAAAATTTTACCAGCCTTCTGGCCTCACCTCCCATAAGAGGTAGTATTGGCGATGGAAATAAGGGTATTAGGCACGAGGCCTACATACGCCGGAGGCTAATTAGAGGTGATAGGCCCTATGAGGGGGGTTTAAATGAGGGCAAGCCTCCTTAAGGAGTGATACAAAATAAGATGAGAAGAAGAGGAGAAGCAAAGGCACTCCGGAGCGAGTCAAAGGTATGTGGCCCCACAAGGGGGAGGTAACCAAGAGCACGACCCTTCCTAAGAAGTGAGGCGAAATAAGAAGAGAAGAAGAAAGAGGCCGAGTACCTAGGTGAGGAGCTGGTGGCTTGAGCCCGGCGGCTAGGGTGGATCTTAGTGCCTCTTGAAAGGTCCTTGGAGGGTCTAAGGAATAGGGTAAGTGGCCAAGGGTGTAGTGTTCAAGAGTGTTGTGTATGGTTTGGGGTAGGCTAGGGAGTATGATTAAGGTAAGTTAGAGATGTATGGTCTAGGGTGAAGTAGAGAAGGTAGTCTAAGGTGCATGGTGGTTTGTGGTCTAGGGGGGACTAGAGAGGGTGGTCTATGGTGTAGGGTGATTTGTGGTCTAGGGTCGACTAGAGAAAGTAGTCTAAGGTGTAGAGATTTTGTAGTCCAAGGGTATGCTTTCATAAACAAAATATTTCTCGCTTTTCTTTTGGTTGGGTACAATTGAATTAATTTCACTCTAAAATTGCCAACGTTTTACAAATGATAAGCCTCTAGCTTATATAGAGGTGCCCCTTAAACAAGGGTGCACACTCAAAATCTACCCTAATTGCATCAAAATAAAATTAAAAATGATCTAAAGTAAATTTCGAATTTGGTGAAAAATGATCGTTTTTACCCTCCAAAAAATTATGGAAATTACAAATAGGTCCCCAAAAAGGAGCCTCTTCCCATCCACATGGCTTGGCGGCTTCTCTCTTGTGATTCGGTTACGTTTCGGACAATTAAACGTCATAGAAATGTAGATCGTTCCAAGGAGATTGTTTCGATATGTCTTTTACGATTTGAAATAGAGTTTTGGTCATGTTCCCAAAATTTCAGCCCAACCCACAAACTTGAGTTTCAGTTCCGTAGATCTAGTCCATTCCATTGTTTCACCTGTCTGTCCTTATCACAAATTGAAGAGGATGTCATTGTGATCATATCGCAACAAATATCCCTTGATTTGGACTGTCACCTTATGATTTATGGAGGTTGATTGAAAAGATGTGCCTACTTTGGAGCGTTGATATGGTATCTTCCAAGCCTTGATTTTGAGCTAATCTTACCTCAAATCAAAGCCTTTGGAGCCACGGTCTCAACAGATTCGTTCTCAAGGTCATTCTATCTCAAGGCTCCGATAAACATCTATGGAGAGAGGGGACGTCTTGCTTATGAAATTATGCATTTTGTGCTTTCCGGTCAAACTTGTTTTTAAGAATTCTTCCATTTCAGGTGTCATCTCAAGCCATGCCATATGTCAAAATATTCGCATCTATGAGATAAACATACCAAATTTTGGTATCGATTGGCCTTAAGAAGAAGAAGATATGGCCTTTGCAAGAAACCTTGTTTTTTAGGAAAGTCGAACCTAGAAGGGTCTGATTGAGCTGAAATTTGGT